CTCCACCTCCGCCACCATGGCCACCATAATGGCTGGCGGCCACCTCGAGGTCCCTCTTGCTCCTCAACAGATTAGCCGAGGCCAAGGAGACGCACATACAAGCCACGGCCAGGCCGAGGCATAGCCACAAACCTCTCGTCATATTGATACTTTGTGGACCAAGCAGTGACTGATCACATCGTTTTAATGCAAACCTTTTATACTAGCCGGTATACCGGCGTTCTATACGTAACCACTTTCGTTCCTCCGAGCAGCCTAGTCGACACGAAAGATTCAATATTTCGTAAAAGTCGCCGGCCCGCGATCCGTGTCGTGCAAAGGTTGTTACAGATGAGACGCAGACAAGTCCTATGGTGAACAGATGAAACACCGATCATAGTGAATACATTTTTTACGCGGTTAAATGTAAAAAGCTCTTTCTCCGACTACGAAGTGATCGAACGTTGTTTTGCGGCGGACGTAGAGAGTCAATAGGCGATGAGTTTTTTCGTTCGCAAAAAATTTAATCAATTTGTAACCGGTAGAGTACGGCGCGGAACATGTTACAAAACGTCTCTGCCATTGTTTAGGTGAAAAATGAAGTTTTCACCGTTCACCGAATTTCTTTGCGCAACCGGCCTCTCAACTTTCGTCAATTAAACCTGAACAGGAATTTTTACCAGTCGGTTTCTTTTCTGTCGCCTGCTGTAAAATATCATCGTAGCCAGGAAAATCCGGATGATTATGTCTACCGTGATCACCTTTCACGAACGTTAGACAAGGAGGCCAACCGTGTCGAGAGATTCCATAAAAGAGCGCAACCGCTCAATTTGTTTCGCGGTCGATGACACGTATTCGTGTCAATAAATACGGCTCAATCTATTTTCACCGTCACGGTTAGATCGATAATTCTCTAGCGACGCGCGGCGCGCGACAATGCAAGACTTTAACGAAGTCTCTACTAATATGTCGACAAAAATCTGAGAAATAGTTCTGACCGGTTCAACAAACCCCTGCCCATTTACAGCTCATGAAACATAAAAAAGAAATGCAGAAATTCGATTGTAGATCAATAGGTGGAATCAATCGAACTCCCATAATCGAGATTAAAATTATAATTACAGGTTCAAACATGGGTCGCCGAATTACACGACTCAAAATCGTTGCCCAACGACACACGGTAGCACGGAAACCGAAAAAGAGGGAGATTATCATTTACACACCGGGTAGAATAGATTCAGCGAGAGCGCAAGCGATTTCGATCAAGTTGCATAACGGTTTCGATTGACGGCGTCGGATCGGTCGGAACCGACGAATCGCGGGCTAAGCGGGTTAAGGAGACGCTACTTTCGCAACGTCCCGCTAAGGAGCCAGGAAAGAGCCAGCTTCCTTAATATCGATTATTCCCCGTTCGATATATAATCCGAGCGTAGTGACCGGACTTAATCATACCGAACGCAGCTACGGCGCCGAACGTTTCGGTACCGACAATATCCGAGTCGAATCATGAAGTCTCGCCTAGTAATTCTCCTATTCGCCATTGGCGTGGCCATTGCAGTGGCACGCGAGATCGGCAAGGAGTATGGTGACATGGAGGTGGCTGCGTCCCACCATCAAGAACACCACGAGAAGGGTGGTGGCGAGGAGCACCATTCCGATCATCATCACAAACATGGCGACAAGGGCGACAAAGGGTACAAGTCGTCGCATAGTCATGAGAAAGGCGAGAAAGGACATCACGACAAGGACGGGCACAAAGGCTACTACGATGAAGAGGAGGGACATAAGAAAAACCATCATCATGACGATGGTTACTACGCCGAGCACCATAAAGGTGAAAAGGGTGAGAAGGGACACAAATTCCACGAGGAAGGACATTACGGAAAGGGACACAGTACGAAAGGACATCACGAGGTCCACAAGGTAGATGAGTTCAAGAAGGACAAGGAATTCTTTGATGAACACCATGATTCTGGTCACCACGAGGGTCACGGAGGACATCATCACGAATATGGGCACAAGAAGGGCGGACACTTTAAGAAAGGTCACCATGATAAAGGTGAACACGAAGATCATTATGGCAAGAAGGGCCATTACGAGAAGGGACAACATCACCACGATCAAAAAGGACATAAGAGTTCTGGTGGTCACGATGATCATCACGAGCATCATTCTAAGTATGGCAAGAAGGGAGGACACGACGATCACAAGTCGTGGGGATTTAAGAAGGGGCATTAAGAAGTGTTCATGCTGATTGTTATGTTTGTTAAGCTATGTCGTGCAATGTTGATCTTTGTGTTTGATCGAAATAAAGATATTTTTGAGACCTGTATAAGTTTATCCAAATTCTTTTCATCGCTTATATTATGTTAAGTACTTCCGTTAAGTTATATTGTCACTCAAGTCGAATTAAGAATGTTGCCGTATTTTTTTTACTAAACTATTTGATGCAATTTTGCAAAATTGCATGAAGTTAATGAATAAAGTTTCGTTACTTTTATAGATTAGTTTTCAAAAATGACGTAAAATTTCTGTAGCGTCCTAATAAATACGAATTTCTAGCAAACCATATTTTCTTTTCAATACTGTTTCAATGTGCCTAATGATTTCTATTGCCCTAAGCCCCATAATATTAATTTAAGTACATCATGAAGCATGAAACGTGAAACTACATAAAACCCTGATACAGTTTTTGTGAACTAACAGAACGAAAGTTTCATAACCGCTTTAAAATTTCAATTTGGCAACACATCTACAGTGTTTGACAAGCCAGTTAGCGGCGCTTCTTGCGATATCTCAGTGGCTTCGCGTTTTTGCGTCGAACGCGTTACGGTACGTTAGTTGACGCAAAAGATTGGATCAATGACACTTTCTAGGACAGTTACCTCATTGGATTTTATAACAGGAGTATTGTCATTGTCGCATTGTCATAAAGTGAAAACCCTATATTAATGTTTCTGAAACGAACTAATTAAAAGATTTCCATTTAAAAACCTGATAGTACGTCTTTATTATATTATATAACTTAGAATACATACAAAATATTAATGGGCATATTGATAAAATTACAAGCATTCTACGTGGTGATCAATGATGACCGGAATTATTACGAAAATTGTTCTCTTTAGCTGATTTTGAATCTTCTTCGGAAGCATAATCCTCGTGATGCGAGTGATAAGACTTTTCCCCTTCCTCGATTTCGTGACCTTGATCCTGACTTTGATGGACTCCCTTGTCGTAAGCTCCCTTCTTTCCACTGGCTTTCTGGTCGTAGCCTGAAGAGTGATGACCGCCCTTCTGTACGCCACCCTCGGATACTTTGTAACCTTTGTCGAATTCCGCGAACTTATCGAAATAACCCTTCTTATGAGAGTCGTCGTAGAAATCGGTTTCCTTCTTGTACTCGTCCTTGTGGTAGACATTATGGAAGCCATTAATCTTCTCTCCCTTCTTGTGATACGTAGAGTGTCCGTAATTGTTGCCTTCGTGTCCTTTCTCAGTCTCCTCCTGGGAACCATGCTCTTCCTGTTCGTCGATATGCCCCTTTTGTTGTCCACCCTTGTTGCTATAGTGTCCTGTACCGATGAACAAAATCACCATTAATAAATATTTTAGTAATACGAACGTTTTAATAAACACATGAGTTTACCTTCGTGACGTTCTTCGTTGTTCGTACCACGTTCACCTTTGCTAAATTCGTGATGATTCTTGTAATCATTGTCCCCTGTCTCTCCATGTTTCGAAAGTTCATGAGATTCATACTTTTCTCCGTTTCCAGCTGCTGAAGAACTATTACCGTCATGGGACTCTTCAGATTCTCCACTTTCATCACTATGGGATTTATAAAACTCGTTACGTCTGTCACCATCACCCTCGCTAGCATGAGACTCCGACGAATGACCGATGTCTTCGTGACTATCTTCATCGCTATCTTCGCTCTCATCCCCATGAATATCTCCGTCATCTTTATCGCCGGTTTTATCACTCTCATCATCATTTGCTTCGGCATCACGTGTCTTATCATCCTCGTTCCTTTTCGCCTCCACGACGTTCTCGGTGTAATAAGGCGCGCGTGGCTGCGATTCGGCGGAAGTTGCCGCGTGTTTCGGCAATTCCCGGCCACCGTAAGCGACAATTTCTTGGCGGCTTCTCTTGTCCATGGCCGCGTACGGTTGCAGAATTGGCGAGCGAGCAACAGGTGCGTCGATGTAGTGCACGGTGTGCGGTGCGCGATAGTAGCTTCCACTTCCGTGATCGGTGTAATGCAGGTAGTAAACCGGAAGACCCTGTTGCTGGTTGTACACGTAACCGCTGGCGGAGCTCTCGAGGTCTTCCGCTCGCATCTTGGTGACTGTCATACGCTGCATCCCGGCCGGGCCCGCCTCGATGCGGTCTGTCAAAAGAAACACGCACACAAGCGCCGCGTAAGCGAGCATGACGGAACCTGGATAACTCGTTGGACCTCGGTGTTATTCCTCGCCGGTGAACCGGAATCAGCACTGGCGTGTCTATCAATCGCGGGCATTGCTTTATATATCTACACGAGAACGTGGTTCGAGGCTTCAGATTGATCGGTGAATAAGGGATCGCAGAGTGGAACCGAGCATTCCATGGTCGAGCTCGATATTTCAAGTACACCGTGCTATTGACGGCGTTGCTTCGCTCGCGGGGATCCTAATCGATTTGCGTAATGTGTTGCGCCCAGTTGTTTTCGCCTCTGCCACTGAGCAAGCGCGATCAAGGCGGTTTCAGGAATCCTTTGGTCACGGCCATCGGTAAATGACGTGTCCTATATGCGGCGGATTGAGAAAAAAGGAGAGAGTCTTCGAATTTGTGGTATTGAAGGATAATGATTAGAGCTGATCGAGGAGCTAAAAACTGACACTTCGGTTTAGATTGAATTTATTTAATCGAATGATTTGAAACCTTGAAAAATCAATCCTTATTTCGCAGCTTTGTTTTGTAAAACTGTTTAAAATTTATATTATTTTCAGTTCATTTATATAATGTTATGAAGTATTTAATTAAGAAATTTCAAATTATAGAAACTTTTACTTTATGTTCCAAATGTGTCTTTAAAGTTTTTTTACTTTTACGTTAAATGGCTGCAAACTTAAAGTTAAAATGGTTGTGGATTATATCTTTATTTGTCATATGTATAGCTACTTACTTGCTGATATATTTATAAATCTTTAGATAACCTATATTGTAGTTGGTACTATAATATTCAATCATTTTTAGGTAATGCGAAATTTTTAAATGTCTTGACATAAAAAAATTATTTAGTAAAAGAACGAAGAAATGTTTATTCATGAAACCTACATTATTCAAACTATGTTGTTAAAGACACAACAAAAATTATGTTTTTAGATGAGAAAGCAAAACACATTCATCCTCAGACGATAAAATAGCTATATGCGCAATAGATGCCGACGTAAATATAACCTAGTTAGTAACGTTTCTTCCATGTGTAAGCAAAATAGCATTTTTTTAGTAAACCAACAATTTTTATTAAATGAAGTTATTTAAAATGATGCACGTACGTAATGATTGCACTTAATGAAATTTATTATTATAAAATTTAGGAAGAAAGTATTTAAAATACTATTCTTTATATTTATGTTACTGCATATTATGCACATGAGATAAAGTAACAATTTGAAAAAAGTAATAATTTGCAGATAGGACGTTTATTTCAATAATCAAAATAGAAATTTAAATATTTTAATTCAACATTTTGTATAGTGAATCTGATTCAATACTTACAGTACATATTTGCTGAAAATCGATGTGCATTTACTTTTGAAAAGAGATTTAGTATAAATACATTACTTCCGATAAAGATATAGGTATTGTACAGCACAAAGCTGAGCTAGTTGTTAAAGTAAATTGATTTTCAGTTTAATCTTCTTCTTTTGATGTCCAGCGAATATTGTACAATTTATTCTCTTCAATGGTGCGGGCAAACAAGAATTGCAAATAAAAGTAACAAACTGACTATTGTATATAGTGAGCGAATTATAACAAACGGGATTTAACAAACCTGTATAAACTGTCTGCAAATAATATTAAGGCAGAATCAAAGTCAAATTATACAATTCATAAAAACCAACAAAATACGAGATCAAAGCGTAATGGATTTTAATTATCGACATTTTAATTATCTAACTAAATGTATATTACAGAAAGTGCTTTCACACGTAAAAAATATAACAAATTAATAATTCACTTGTTTTATATTGAAATTCGCACGAAATTCGTTACATATATTGATGAAACATGTTCTTCCAGAAATGTCAACCATCTGAAATATTATAAGAATAAATAAAATAATATGTAGTTACGTCAAATGAATTTTTTTCGCGTCATTCGAATTTTAATAAAATGTAATGACATGTTCTAAATCGTTATAAAAGACAGAAAATAAAATTCAACAATTTATGGTTGGAAATATAAATAAAAAAGTGTTGCATTTTAGTGTAAAAGAAAGTCTAATAAAATAGAATAGATAGCAATTAGCGGAGTTTTCATAACTTAAAGAAAAATTGTCATTTCCAACAGTAATAAAGTGATCGCAATTCAAAATGGAACACTTATAGAAATTGCTCCATAAGTTCCTGAACAAAAAATGTCTACACGAAAAGATACAATTGGGACAGAGAAAGAAATTCTAACTAAATAGGAATAAAAGTCATTTAAGAATTGCGACAATTATAATCAAGCAATTTGTTACGAACTTACATACACATTTATAATATGGACATGCTTTCCATTTTCTTAAATACGGAAATTACAAAATTCTAACGAAATAGATGTCACTCATAAATATTTCTTAATGACTTTTCTAATCTATTTATTGAATTACAGTCTTAGCTATAGATATCGATATTTAGGTACTCTAGATATTAAAAGAATTTAAAAATAAAGTAAAGTAAAGTAAAGTATCTTAAAAAACCTATCTGCAGCGGATTTATGATTTTTGAATATAATTGTACAAAATATTTAAGCAGAAGTTCAAAGCAAAATGATACCACTTTAGATTATACCTCATATAGGAGACATTTAAGAATTTTATCAATGAATAATTACCAGATTAACAGATAGACACGTGAATCAATAATAAAGTAATGTAAGCTAATTTAATTTAATCTATTTGTATGAATATCGGGAATACTGTATTTAGCCTCGTTCTAATCTCGATTTACATTTAAATTCATCTAAATATTCTTGTTTCTGGGAAAATTTAAAATAAACTTAATAAAGTTTTTCTATGTTTCAATGTTATTATAAGTTGGCACAATTTATGAATTCGGTTCAAATTTTAATACGAGTGAATGAAATAATATAAAAATAAAATTATGTCATCTTAACGTAAAGGATACATACTTCTAGATTCAATATTTTTTGCAGTATTAGATTGGATACGTTTATCAATGTACGTAGATAAAAGATATTCATTTCAGACAACAGTAGATATGAATAATAGAAAATTTGCACATTAAAGCATTCGCATAATAGAGAAAGGGGATGCTTTACTTTAATTTTCGTAAAATAAGTTTCATGTATTTTCATGAGCAAGTATTTGTATAATTTAAAGGTCACATCTGATTCCTTCGATTACATTAATCACAGATAGCATTCCTTATTGCGTTTGTTCCAGATAATAGTATAGGTTATATCTATTTATCCATTCATTCCTAATATTATATAAAGAATATTCTTTGAAATCGATTCTCATTTGAATAAAAGGCTTAAACGTTTCAGTAAATTATTCATTAATTCAAGTCATTTATATACATAAAAAACAAATTTCAGAGAACAATAAGCATAGAAATATTTCGTCGAATTTGTTCGACGTATTTCAGGAAACCACACAATTTTTGTTTAATCCGTTCTTCCCTCGTATCATGATTCGTGTGCATTTTAGTTTCACAAAGTGACTCGACAGCACGAACCGAGAGCAGGCATCAATTCGAGCAGCAATTATTTGTATCCGGCTCGTTGATGCTTGATTGATTCCACAAAATCGGACGGAAGCTCTCTCGTGATTTTAAAAACACGGTTCAGTCGTATCCGTGGTTGCAGAAAACACGATAAATCTAATCACGTAGACCTAACGCCGCGAAAGAACCCTGTTACGTAACAAAAAACAACGGCTATTCATTAAACAGACACGGTCAATACGGCTGGTATAAAATACGAAGTAGCTTGGTATGTGAGAGTGTTTGGACGGTCAACTTTCTAATTCTCCTGTATAATGAAGCACGCTTTTTCAAGAATTGATAAACAAAAATAGTATTACTGCCTCATTAATGGTATACGATGTTATTTTTATTGCACCGTCATACGTATACTGTTATATAGGAGGATATATATGGATATATATATCCATAGGATATATATATAAAAGGATATATATATCCTTTTTAATTTGGAAATTAGTAATACTCTGTGGACTAAAAAGACTTCCCACACTTCTTTACTGAAGTTTAAAGACAAGTATCACTTCGCTTATATTCAATTACTTTTATAAAACTTTCTTAAACTGTGTATTTTACAAAGTTTTGTTTTGCAACTTTCTATACACTTTCACTGAATTTATTTATACATAAAGGTTATCCATGCATCGTAATATGCATTAAGTATTTAGAAACATGGAGACAACGTTTCGATTAACGCAATACCCGTGTGACGCAGAAAATATAGTAAAAAGCTGTATATACATACGTTATAGTAATTCTGCATTGTATTTATTGAATGTCTTTTTCCATAGAATATTCCGTAACAGCAAGAAAGAAAAGAAAAGACGACAAATTCAGGAAAAACCTCTGGTACGTCCAAGATGTAAGAGCACGTTGTTGTTACTTATTTTTCATAATATGCGTAAATGTGTTCAAATAGGATATAATGGGATGATTAAAAATTGATTTCTTTTCTTTTAATGTGTTGTTCGCATTATACTATATAAATGAATACACTGAAAAATGGCACATGATTGTTGAACAAAATTAATTTAATAAAACGTAACTCTTCTTAACACTGTGTTCGCAGAAGGCGAGAGTTTGACGTATACATTGACTTTCATTAATGCAATTAGATGAATATGTATCCTAATTGTCTATTCTTAAATCTTTCACTTCGTAAGTTTAAATGAACAGATATCAATCTTTTTAAGAACAATAAAATAAATTGTTCGTTAAATTTTCGTCAACCTTATATTACGTCAATAGTTTCCATATTTATAATATTTTAACAATAACAATAACAACAATAATAATAGTAATAGTAATCTATCTTCGAAGTGATGTTTCAAAAAAAAGTCTAACAGAAAACAGATCTTGCTTTCTTTAATATCACGCCGAGCATTATGAAAAAATTGTAGATGTTAATGCAAATTCATTAAAACTGACTTCACATAAAATTACATGACTTCTACATGATGAATGTTACTTCAATTATGTGCCATGCCATTTTATTACACTCTTGTAACACATTGTCAAATACAATACAAGAGAAAATCTTAAAGGTCACAAGACACCGATAACCACAAGAAATATTCAACAAAAATCAGAAATTCTATATATGACAGTACTGTTTAGACCCCATGACCTCATTAGTTTTCCACGGAAACACTTATACAGTTATATAAACACCCATGTTATACACTACAATTTGAAGAAGCAAACGTAGACAGATATAAATCATACTTACTTGACGTAAGCCAGTAGATTACAATTATTATAAATATATGACACCACTAAACGTTTTTATCAAGTACAAAAAAATATCCTGTCCGACCTAATGTTTCACCAGTACTACTCATTACAACCGCAATAAACACAACTACCAATCTCTCTGGCCATCATTCATCAAGGTCGTTTTCGCGGGGCGGATCATCGTACGCAAGATTAAACACAAATCCTTGGTGGAATCGGCGAGATTGCGTGCAAATTTCATTGTGAAATCGGGGACTCTGGCTTTGTCGAAACGTCGCGACACGACGTCCGTCCTTCCAGATGCATTCTGCAGTCTCGGGCGAGCGGCGATCGCGTCGGAGCGCTCTCGATCGGCGGTCGCGACATATAAAAGAGCTGGACTTATGGCCGCAAGATTAGAGTACATCTGAACGCGTTTCCACGAGCTGCGGTCTCCTTGAACGAGCCTATCATCGTTCGCCCGCGGCATGTCACATGAAATTTTGGACTCGAGGTCAAGTAGGTTAAAACGCTAACATAACCATACGGAAAATGAAAATCTCGGAGAAAGGATGGCGTACCGTCTGCGCGGTCCTCTGCGTGACGCTAGCGTCAACTAACGCGTACACGGTGTACGTGATCAATCCGAAAGCTTACAATCCAGAAACGATCAATCCAAAACAAACGTACTTAGAAGTTGAGGACTTGACACGAGTGACTGATTACCAGCCGCATCTGATTCCCATAAAATCACCCCGCGTGATCAAAGGACTGGTGACGCTGCCGTTGGAGCCAGAAGCTGAAATGCTACCAGCTCATTACATTGGTGTGAAGCCGCCAGGAGTAGACCATATGGAGTTGAAATACGCGGAGTCGCAATTGACGAAGACCAAACCTAATCAACAACCCTCGAGAAATCGTAAGCAACACGAAAGAGCTGGACAAGCAACATTAAATCGTAGTAATGTTCAATTAGCACAACAAGGGCGCCAAAAAACAGCTTCTCGCGAGAGCGGACGGAAAGGTGATCACCAGAAGGAGAAGCAGAGGACTGATAAAGTTGAGAGCGGCGGGAAAAAGAAGAGTCACTCCAAGGAAGATGGCAGTTCTAACTATGAAGAAGCGAAGACTGGAGGAAGGACAGGGAGCAGTCACCAGAAGAAGAAGGGTGATTACGTAGACAGCAAAGCAGGTGGCTATCACAATGTTTACCATAAAGACGAGTTCAAGAAAGATCATGATTTCTACGACAACGACGATGAAGGTGGACATTTGAAGAAACATGGTCAGTACAAAGAGAAGCATACCGCGTACGAGGGCTCGTACAAGAAGGGCGCGAGCAAGAATTCGGGTTCCGGTGAATCGGAAGCCGGGAAGAAGGGAACTTCGGAGAACTCCCAGGCCGAGCAGGAATCCGAAGGTCATGTCGCCAGTAGCGAGTACGATGGATTCTTTAAAAACTTCCAAGGATTCGCGAAACAAACCGGCCAAGGGAAGGGTGAAAAGTTTGACTTCGCCGAGATGAAAGGGCGCTAGGCTTCCCAGGTAGACATCCAGTTACATATTTGACAGGAGGAACGTGAGGTCTACTCGCTTTAAAATAAACCGTTTGATTTTCCATAACCGAGATATTTATACCTGCGCTAGTTTATTCGTTTAATCACCGCTGTTCGTGACCGGGTGCGCATTTACGAAGTACGGTGAATATGCATTATGCGACGAGCTTGATTGCGGATAATTATACGATCAGCATTGTACATATTATCAGCGCGATATTTAGTATAATAGCGGAAATTACATGTATTATATATTCGACGCGTTCATTGTTTTTCGTGGGTCTTTTGAATTCGTCGAGGACGCGCAATATGGGAATACAAGAGAATCAATATCACGGATAATTAGCCTCGAATGGTAATTAATGTTGCTTATTTATTCGTGATTAATTGACGACTGTGGGCGTCCCTTTGTTAATATTTTTCTACTGTACACGATCGTTTGTTAAGATTTTTAAACAAAGGTATTTAGAAATAAAGAACAGTACATCGAAAATAAAATGGAACGAATTTTTCAAAAGAATTTGTAATCGAATGAAAAAACTGAAAGAACTTTCAGAACTCGGAGAGAATTTTTATTCCATCGGCACGTCACGTTTGCCAGAGATTTTGATTCCGATTTTTATTTCCCACCAATTACGTTCTTTCTCTTCGACCTCTTTTTTCCAGCCACTCTTTTGTTAATACTTTTGCATGATGCACGATTGTTCGTTGACGTTTTGAAACGAGAACACTTGAAAATAAAGAATAGTACGTCGAGAGTATCAGGTGAAAAAAAAATGTTTTTTAAGATAGTGTAATCGAAAGAATAAACTACAAGAATTTCTTGAGAAGGATTTTCATCGCCTCGATGCGACACACTTGCCAGAGAAATCAATTTACGCTCAATCTTTTATTTTCTGCCGATTACGTCCTTTCTATTCAGTGTTTTTTTGCAGGAACTATATTCCATCGCTAGCTCGGAATTTCTCATTTCGAGTGTCATCGATTCGAAGCGGAACGGGGATCTAGAATATATACTTCCATATTTCCCGTAGTTCATCAGGACGTATTGTTCCGTTCCCGTTCCCCGTTTCTAGTTACGTGGTAGCCAATGATTCGCTCATGCAGGGACTCGGCCTGTTCCGAGCGTCAGCAGACGGAGGCCGGTTGATTAATGGATATTAATAATGCCCGGCATTGTTGCGCCGATAAATTGCAATCTTTCCGTGTATCGGATGAAATGAGAATAAAAGCTCATAATTGACGCAAGCACGCTCGGTTGGACTGTATATCTCGAAGCAGCGCAACATCGTCGTTTATTCATGACGGCAGATCGACTTTCTACGCTGATATTCACTATTACGAATAAAATTCACATCGCTCGTTCGTTGAGAAGTGAACTTGAACTCATTGGTAGGAAAAGATTGAACAAATGGCCTATATTCTATATAGGGCAGTATAACCTTGTCCAATCAATTTTTCAATTTCTGTTAACTTTTTGATTTTTCTCTACATTGAAAAGTGTTTTATAAAAACATAGAAAGTATATATTACCCTTCTTATGTTTTTATTCTAATTTTCCGATTCAACGATCTTAAATTATACAGTGTGAACTTATAGGTTCTTTTTATTAGATCAAGCTATGTTATTTCGCCACGCATCGACTAAAAACTTTTTTGTTTTACCTGAATTTATACGTAAGTGTAAATATTATCAATTATTCGCAGCAATGTTTTTACGGGATCGAACATTATTTTCCTCGAGCGTTGTCTTTTCATTTCAATAAATGATTTTTATTGAACTCCATAAAAATGAACCACGACGTTTTTCATGAATTCTAATTTTCAGGCGATGGAGGCAACGGAGTGAAATCTATTTTTTTTTAACGAACTGTCAATAAATCGGTTTGCGCCGATCGTCGTTTCAGTCTACTGTGTGATTTACGGTAGTGTGGTACTTTCCTCTTTGATATCACATTCTCTGCCGCATTTCCGGCTTTGCTGAATGCGGTGGTAAATCTCTTAGAGTGATGGCACATCGATTCTTGGGACAAGATAAAGTATTGTAACATTGTATGCCGATCATGTTGCACACTCAAAATCACATTCCCCATTGAGTAAAGCAGTGATCTTTTCGTTTAATACGTAAGTTCGGTTCAAATCAAATTCCAATAATGAATTGTTGCGAGTTTATAATATTTCAATTTACACTAATGAATTTTTCTCTTGCTGACTGTAAATTCTTTTTCATTATAGTTGTAGCAAACATTGAAATACACCGTGCACAAAACAATTGCATGAAGCAATATTTTCTGAACGTTGAATACTTTATAATTCAATGTAATTGTCTCGATTTCTCCATGAATCCTTTATACAAATACACGTAGGAGGAAGAGAATTTTATCTGTATAAACGATATTTTTATTACACGACTTGCAATAAAACAATGACCTAAAATCAAATCACACGCACAATATATACATTCGGATACGTTCATCTCACTCACATACTTTCCAGAACATTCTTTCTCCACCAGGCATTAACTTCATGTATATTTGGAATATTCTGTATTCGTTTACCATGAACACGAAAATCAATATTACAGAAAATCAATAGTCTAGAATATTCCAATGCCTGGAACATTTATTCAAAATACACGCTCACGCACACTTACTCATCAACACACTCATTCGCTCATATATTTTAAATCGTTAAATTTATGTAATTACCGAATATTTTTACGTGTTCTGTGTCGTTACTGCAATTTCAGATATATTCATAATTTTTATCGTTTTTTGCATTTTATATAATGAATACGTCTGTCATCTGGGAGGATTACTTAATATTTCCCATGCTTGTACCGTAGTATAAATTGTTAAATTTCTGCACATTAAAATTATATTTAGAGTAATAGCTTAACCAATTTGTACTTGGACTTTTCTAGACGAGTGTAGAAGAATATTAAAAAATGAAAACTCTTAGGCAATACTCAGTTTGATTTATATAGAATATTTATATTATATTGATAATGCGATATGAGCGTCGTATTGTAAATCGATAGATATTCATTTATGTTCGACATTGGAAATATATTTACCGACTAAGTTATTACTACGTTCCAATTTACGTAGTAAACAATTTGCATATAAATGCAACTGATAAAATAAATTATATCTAATTTACTTTGATCGAGATATTAATACATTTTTACAACAAATATTAACTTACCAATCTTTATGTATCTATGTAACCTAAATAATTTTTTCATTTTACAATATGTATTTACCCATAGAGCATAATATAGACACTGTTTACTTCCTGTGGATTTTCAATTTCTAAGAAATGTAATCTTAAATAACAGATGACATAAATAGCTGAAACATAACTGCTGATAACTCAATATGCCTATTCTTTATGCAACACGTATTTTCGCGATATGAAACTTAATGTGTCTAAATACATGTATGACAACAGACGACTTCTCTATATATGTATACTTGAATATTTCCGTAATTATTGAAAATACGAAAAAATATTTCAGATAAAAATTGGTCAACATGATAGAGGACACTTAGTAAGCTATTTCGATTTTTTTTACAGTGTTATTTAAAGAGATTTCTAGATCAATGCAATCTTTTTAAATGCTACATATTTTCATTATTGTCGGTTTATTGTATCTTTCAAGACGAATTCAACGACGTATATAACACTTACTTGTAATTAATAATGTATCGACTATTTTTATAAATATTCGTACAAACATTAGACTGCACACGAATGAAACAGAAGTATTAGTACTAATATAAAACGTGTACGATATCAATGATCACATATCGGGAGCGATGAAACGAAATGTGAGTAATACATAAATCGGACGATCTCTCGGCTGTCATATCATTTTGTACAGCGGCTGTGAACGAATGAATGGTCCCGCATTTAAGTTATCGTTACAGCCGTTCCTCAGGACTCCAGCGTAGGATTTCAAATTTTTACACGCCCACTATTGTCTTTATGTGTAAAGTAATCGCGAATGAATACAGCAATGGAGATCTTCAACTATACATGTTTTTTTAGATACTTGATTGGCCAAAAATAATAAATCGGAAGATTATATTGAGTACGTATTATATTAAATTCTCAAATAATTTCTTAAACAATGCAGCCACACGCACGCGCGAGGTCGAATTAAAAGGACATACTAAAGGTGAGTGAAAACGGCGCGACGTCGATAATAAACGGGTCGAATACGCGACGCTGTTTAATGCGATGTTAAACAATAATATTGATACATGCATCAGAGATGGCGGAACGCTTTTACATTCACGCGACCAGGGTGAATTTGACCCCGCTGTTCATCTCGCAACGATCACACTCGTCGACGGTCTCTCGCTTATTGAATTAATTTGCGGCGAATATTTTATCGTGATATTAATGCGCAGTGGCGTATAATCGTCGACCAATTTTAATATAAATCGCGCATTATATAGAATATTACAACCTACGTGATAGTTCGATGCGATTAAACATTATCTGATCCGTCTTTTCATAATATGCAAACGATTAGATTTAGATTATACCTGTTTGCATTATCCGATTCCGTAGGATAACCTGATAAAGAGATTTTTCAATTTTTTGAGATATATTTATTAGATTGTAAGGAAATATAACTAAATTGACTATAATCAAGTTATTACTTATTATAACGTAAAGAATTTTTATTTTATGAAATACAACTTACAGTACCTGAATAATAGAAAGCGTGTAAGTCCATTGAAGCACAGCTTCACTACATATGATTTAAATTTTTAAAATATGATAATCTAAAATCAGTGAAATAAATTAATTTAATGATGACTGCAAGATAAATGAATTAAGAAACAAACCGCTTATTTATTTGCGAATATGTGCAATGTTCATACCGTACGACCTTTTTAATTATTTGCTGATCTGTTATAAACGAAAGATTTGGAACATGTAGTGGCCCAAACACATGAAGATGTTATCATATATGAAGAAACATAAGTCAGAACGGGATGATTATATCAATGCTGGCATTACTTCGAACGATTGTTCAGAAGCGTATCAGAAATATTTCGAATTTAGAGAGGATGTGGAATCGACAAGCTTATTTTCACTTCACAGGGGTAAACTTTAAAGCTTCAATGAAATGTGAAGTGAGTTTATTTAAGTATATTTGTCAAATTTAAAATAACCTGTCCAAGTTTGTTAATGACGAATGAAATTACCATCTCCGCGTCACTTCGGAATTCATAAACTGCCAACCCCTCGTATTTATGAATAACAAGGTCTCAAGAGATCAGTGAAACACAAAATCGAATCAAATTTAATGCAATCTGGGATTACTTCGATCCAACCAAGATGTTAATAGAACAAATAAAATTATACGTAACTTCGCGACGTTTATGTAAATTTTAATTTGCTCGGGCGTCCACGGCTTCTCAATAAAGAACACGGGGTTATGCGTATTCATATTTTATCGAAAATGGCGGATGAATGCTACGTTTCAATATTCCATTACTCGGTTTACTGCTACTTTCGACGTTAAACTGCCGCCACCAACAGTTTTCATTTCGTGTTTGAATACTCAGGTTCGAAAATAGAATTCTTGAAGACATTTTAATTGAATTCGGACATCAACGTTTAAAATTGTTGCTTCTTTTTTTTGCTTCGTTAGACAACACTGCACGATTACCAATGAAGTACTGCTCTTTCGCAAGTCCAGTTTTCACTGGTCTCCGTAAAAAAGTGACATCTAACGTAATCCCGCCTCGCTTGGATGAGTACGATGTATACACAAACTCACAATGTATTTAATTGCAATAGCGACGATTGAAAATGGACTACGATTTCTTTTTCGATCGTTATAAGTAGACTGTGAATTTTACGCGTTTATTGCAAATCCTGGTGCCAGCAGCGGAAAACGATCAACATTTTGATGACAGTAGTTCAAACATGTGAATTATTTTATGTTTAGTAAGATCCATAGTAAATATAATTAATTTGTTTTCACTTCGTGCACCTGCAATCAATTTGTGGAGATGAAAGTGTCATACTAACGCGTATTCTGTTGTGTAATGAAACAAAAAAAAGATGCAAAATTTGTTTTAAAACCTGTAGTTCTTATCTATGTGAGATTTCACAATCAGAATTATCAGAAAAACGAAATTTAGAAGTAAGAATTATTTGTAATGAAAGTAAGTTTACATAAGATTTTTCCTCTTTCGTTCTTACAGGATGATTCAGTGTACATAACGCGTCTGGCACTACCCTCTGATTATGAGAACGTTGCAGACTTTATGAGCGATGTATACTACAGAGGTGAACCAGCGATTTTAAATATAGGTAAAAATGAGATCGAGTTTAACTCTTCCGCCCCAGAATATGTATTCGCCCCTAAATTAAACAGAGGGCCAGGAACAGCAGTTTTCAAGTGAAATTTAAGCTTGCCAGTGACAGAAATAAGATAAGCATTAATAATAAATAGTAATTAGCTGTCAGCCATAAACAAAGGTCCCCGTATGGTACAATTTTCTTTTACCTTGGCATTTTCTAACTTTTCGGTAATTTAAAATGTACGTGGTACCTATGTGTACCATTCGGGATGGAAAGGTTAATATATATTCATGAATCTGATTTGATTGCAACACTCAAGTTTCATTTCTTGGATTTTATGTATTGCTCACAAGAAATAATGTATTTATGTTCTCATATCATAGTTAGACCTTGCTGACACAAATTTATTGACGTACATTTTGTTATTTTATTCCTATTTTTTGTTATTAAGAAATGTTACGTGAAGTAAATAATTTAACAATGCAAAAATTGGAAAAAAAGTAATAGTCATCACCTCAGGGTCAAAATGGACCCAGACATGGTACAACGAGGGTTGAAATTATGTTAGTTAGGTTCGCTCCATAAAATGTGCGACTCAAAGTTTCGAAAGCGTATTTGAATAATCAAGTCTCCTCAAAGAAATACTCAAATATTGACAATGAGAAACTATCATATGTATCATTTTACTATTTTATTTGTACTCATCCTTCTCTTCTCAAGCTTCTTTATAGTACTAATAAAATTAGAAAATATACAAATAATAGAAAATTAGAACAAACTAAAGATTTCAAATACACATTTTGTTAACATTGTTTCTCTAGTTCGAGGACCTCATGAAATGTGTTCGAAATAAAACAGATTTGAATCTATTTACAATTCACCATCAGTATATAAGTTAACTTCATGAGCTTTTTAAAATAAACTTACCGACTGTTTTTGTAAAGAATATCATACATTGTTCAATCTCCGAAATATTCATTATTACTTTCAATAATCGCATTCCATTTTTCAAACAAAAATGGAAGGACTCGAAAATGAACAAAGCGTTTAATGTCAAACGGATTCATAATTGATTAACATTAGGTTTACGGGTGTATATTGCACTGTTTACTCTATTGTTCCTAGAAAAATTCATGTTTGTTCGTTTAGATTTTAGAAACCAGGGATTTAAAGTCTGACAGGATATCTATTCGTGTAATTGCCTCAATAAAAACCGATATAAACGTTTACAAAGTAATGTTTGTAAAATTCAGTATAAGTCAAACTGACGCGTTCCGTAAATCCAGTGTTAAAGGTATTCCATGAACCCCAAATCTGATACATCGAATTACCAAATACAGGCACTGCTAGCGCAACCGCACCAAAATGCTGGCGACGAATGATGTACGATCAGGTGAAGTACGGTCTATCAATCATAGCCGAGGACCGTGATCGCTATCTAATCGGCGCATCGCTGAACACTGTGATATATCCATCAGAACCAGAAAAGATACTCGAGTATACGAAAACGTGCGAGTCACCTGCCATGAAGCAGATCCTGCATTTCTTCAGTTACGTAGTGGAACAGTCGAGGATTTTCGAACGATTCTGCGTTCCCAGGATGTTCGAGTTGACTAGCTTGGCGGTGAGCGAGGACTACAGGAACATGGGGATTGGTAGGAGGCTGATCATGGAGAGCTGGTACCTGGCACGCAGCTGTGGCTACCCGATGGTGTATATATCTTGCGACAGCAGGTGAGTGGGATCCTGGCTCTCGCTCGATATTCGAAGCTTCGGTTCGTCTCGAATCCTCTCCAACCTTGAAGAATTCCAAGCAGGGGATCGATGGTTGCATCGAACGAACCGCGGAAGGGCGGATGTCGCCACGCTGCAAGATTTCACGGGTTCCAAGTGATGGTAGACTCGAGGACGCTGTAGGGAATGCGCGATTGATATATAGATCCCAAGAGCAGTACTTGCTCCAAGCTACCATTCATGTGGCCACAAAATGTGTGGTTTTTTTGTCGTTACACTTAAAGTGTGTAGTTTTGTTTTATTTAACACCAAAACTACCGAGCAATTAGAGTGATTTATTCCCAGTTTTTAATCAAAATTAGAACACTACGTCTCTTGAGATTCGAAGGGTCTCCTAGTCTTGTGACAATGCAAATGGACGAACTTAATGGAAAGTATTTCGCAAAAACGCCTTCGTAATTTAAATACTTGAAAAATAAACATTCTGAATAGAGTCAATTTGACCCGTCCGGTAGATTTAGTCTTAACCGTTTGAGTCTTTGAGAAAATCCGGGCGAGATATACCGAGAAGTGTTTCATTCCAACTTTTTAATATTTCGAAGTTGTTTACAATTAATGAAATTTTGTTTGTACGCAGTCATTGTGCGAAGATATGTATGGACCTTGGATGGCAAAATGTTTGGAGTATGCCGTTCGATCAGTACGTACTGGATGGTGAAGTGGTCTTTAAGCACGTTAAAGAACCGAACACTCAATGCAGATTATTTATTAATAAGCTGAAAGATGGGAAAATATAGGTACTGTGAGTTATTCAAAAAATGCACCAAAGTATTACCTCTGCGGAGGAATTAATGTATTCTTACAAAATTGATTTTATTGATTGTGTTATAGCTACAAAACTAGTGTAGGAAAAAAATAAAGCTTATTTTTTAACAAATTATTTCAGTTACGTAAAATACCTTTTTATTTTTGTTTAAGCAGTATGTTTACCTTTGTCATTTTTTATATTTGCATTTTATCGTATATACTCTATTATCTGCTAGAATGTTACAAGACATTATTATAAAATAATTCTTTGGAATATAATAAAAAATTTGACCCTTTCGTTTACAGAAAGTCAATTAAAGTATAAATTAGAAGAATTATTAACTTACAGTACTAATATAGTTTCTATTAACGGCTAGAAATCAGTGGGATAGTGACTGTTAGACAGATAAAAAACACTGTGTGAATGATTTCTAATGACGTTAATTTTCCAAGTATTAAACTAAAATTTTTTTATTAAAAATTATATGATACGTGCAATATTTTTTGTATAATGAATTACGTGAAAAAGAATACACAAAAATATGATTTATGTAATTAATGATTAGAAAAGCAAAACCTATTTTGTGATAAAAGTATCCGAAATACATAATATTAACAATTACAATATAATTTATACTTACTTGAAAAACAGTACAATGTATGCGTTAGAAAAAATTTTAAAGACTAACTTTAAACAAAAATTTTAATAACTAAAACAGGCTAAAATTATGTGAGAAAAACACTGTTAAGAATGGAAAGGAGTTGTTTTTATTAATGAAGGGTTAAATAGCATCGAACATTTTGAATAGCACTGAATATTTAAACTGTTACTGTCGCGATTTTCGGAGAGACGAAGTCATGCATTAAAGGTAGAAAATAGCTGATGGTAATGCTATGATATGAGCGACAAATAATGGTTCAAATTGTACAAATTAACACACATTGATTCAAATCTGCTCATAAAATATCGAAGCTGGAATTCGTCTTTTTAGTTCTTTTGTTCCTTTACATTTATTACGATGTTGTTACATCTAACAATACATATTTCCATATAGGCAATTTTATTTCTTTTTCCGTAATTCTTGAAACTATGAAGAACAATTTTTCATGGAAAAACATACGCGTTTCTGTAATAAAAAATCTGTTCTTTTTGTACAATATAAGAAAATCAGATTACATGCATCACGTTTCATAAGTTCCCCATTAATTCTGTTTCATTTTCAACGCGACAGAAATTGAGAATATCAACGCGTTATTCATTCCGCAATATGTGTTATATATTTGATACCAACAGCGTTACGTTTCACCGCTGGATTTTTAAAAACAGTTCATGTAATGGAATCGACAACGACGCGTCAAAAGCACTGGGGAATATAAAATATTTCACGCCGACATTACCAAGCCCTTCTTCATCTGCAATACAAAACGGGTTCAACGGCCAGTGTTACTGAACGCGGGAAACTTCGCGGATCGAAGGGAATAAAACGCGGTGACATTCAAATTAAATTCTCGATATTTGACTTGCGAGCTCGTCTCGACTCGACCGCGGGCTTCAAAGTTCCACTCCTCCGATCCGACGGAATTAGAAATGTCAGGAGGGAGTTTCGTAATCGAAGCGAATCTGACTGTTAAGTTCCATACAGGGGAATGAAGTTTCGAAACCTCGCGGGACGTCAATTAAACGTGT